ACAGCAGAGGCTTAGCCTACTATGCGACAATGCTTGCCCCTACAGCACCCTTTTTAATGAAAATATTGATTAAATGTGTAAAATGAATATCTTATAGCAACATAGTGAAACTAATAACTAATACTCATTTTTCCTAGCAAATTTTTATTTTTTGTACTTTATCTTATTTATGTAATATTATATTGGTCATTAGCAAATCCTTCATTACACTTTATGCTAACTGGTGATATATCTTATTTTCATTTGTATTCCCAATTGCATGTAGTGCAGTGTTCAGAACCCTAAAATATTTCTGTACATGCTCTTCAACAATAAGTAGGATTATATAAAGGGAATTAGCTAATCCCTAGATTTCAGTTTTGAATCCTGTATCTCCACTTTGAGGAATATTACTGGTTTTATTTCTCAAAACATGGAGTGTCTTTGTTTGTGAAGAGCTAAGCATATGGGAAGGTTAAAGTGAAGAATTCAGGTTTTGAATGAGTGGGTATACTGAGAAACAACTAAAGAATAAATATGAAAAAAAGTTAATATTCTAAGCCTAAAAAACAAAGTTGACTTTTCAAGCAGGAATAAAGGTTTTTTTAAGGAAACTTCCTAGCACTTCACAAAAAGTAAAATATGGTTGAAGAAAATCTTTTATTAAAATTCATTCCATCTAGAGACGTAATTTCAATACCTCAGTGTCTTTTTTTCCTTGAATTTGCTTTAAAGCCTCATACTTATTTTAGAGAGGATGGTCAGGCAAGGCTTCTCTGAGGAAGGAACATTAGAAAGGAGACTAATATGATGACAAAAAGTGGACATATTTTTCCACATATTTTGAAAGGAAACATCATAGGCAGTTTACTTAGTGTGAACTTCCTTGTTTTATACTTAGATAAGGGTTCTGCTTGAGTTATATCATCTTAATCCTTGTAATATTTAAAAATAATCATCAAGATTATTCCAATTATTTGGATTTTTTTAACAAATAAGATTCAGAAAAATTTAAACATGTTTATAATCAAATAACTATTAAATAACAGAAGTGGATTAAAACCTGTTGGTACAATGCATTTGGTGTTTTTTAATTGAATACTGTGGCAAACTTTCAAGAAGGGAGACATTTGAGCAGGATGTTGAATGACTGACAGTGTCAAGAACTGGATGTGTAGGGCAGGCATTGTGGTATAATGGGTTAAGCCGCCACCTGCAAAGCTGGCATCCCTTATGGATTCTGGCTCAACTCCTGGCTGCCCCACTTCTGATCCAGCTCCCTGCTACTATGTCTGAGAAAGCAATGATATGGCCCAAGTGTTTGGGTCCCTGAACTCATGTGAGAGACCCGGATGAAGCTCTTGGCTTTGGCCTGGCCCAGCCCCAGCTGTTGTGGCCATTGGGGAAGTGAACCAGAGAATGGAGGATCTCTCTTTCTCTCTTTCTCTCTCTCTCTCTTTCTCTTTCCCTCTATCTAACTCTGCCTCTCAATAAATACAATAAATCTCTTTTTTTTGATGATTTAATTATTTATTTGAAAGGCAGAGTTACAAAGAAAAGAGGCAGAGAGAGAGAGATCTTCCATCTGCTGGTTCACTCCCCATACGGTTATAGTGGTGGAGCTGGACCAATCCAAAGCCAGGAGCCTGGAGCTTCTTCCAGGTGTCCTACATGGGTGCAGAGGCCCAAGGAGTTGGGCCATCTTCTGCTTTCTCAGGCCACAGGAGAGTGCTGGAGTGGACTTGAGCCCGCACCCATGTGGGATGCTGGCACAGCAGGCAGTAGCTTTATCCGCCACGCCACAGTGCCGGCCTCTAAATACAATAAATATTAAAAACAACAATAATAACAATGACAAAAAGAAGATGAAGAAAAATGGGAGGGATTGAAGGACAAATTAGGAAGGGAATGGTGAGGTCAGTGTTGAAGTACCTTAGGGGACTTGAGAAATGATCCCATTGTATGTGACACAAGGCTTTTTCTCTAAAGAACATCATGCTGGGTGAGGAGACTGGAGCTTGAATGTAAACAGGTATTTTTCTAGACCCATGCATTTTTATTTTATTCTTTAGGTAGTGAAGGGAAATTAAAGGACTTTGGACTATAAAGTAGTATAAGCAAAACTATGCTTTGGGGATATTATTATTGAAGAGGATGTAAGGTAGATCAAATGGCGAGTATTATCAGTCAAAGGAGTTCGTTAAGTCAGTACTCCCTAAACAGAATTTTTTAGATGCCGTGGGCATTGTTGAGTCATTATTTATTTGTTTATTTATTATTTACTTATTTAAAGGTTAATTGATTTTTTGAAAGTCCCAGTTATAAGAGAGATTTTCTGGTTTACTCCCCAGATGGCTGCCATGGCCAGGGTTGAGCCAGAATGAAGCCAGGAGCCAGGGGTTTATTTGAGTTTCCCACATGGGGGTCAGGAGCTCAAACACTCAGGTGATCTTCTGCTGCTTTCCTCAGGCCATTAACACAGAGCTGAATAGGAAATGAAGTAGATGGGAGACTAGCCAGTGCCCATCTGGGACGACAGCATCATAGTTGGCAGATTTACCTGCTATGCCACAGTGCCAACCCCTGTTGAATCTTATTAGAGGAGTCTTACCTTCTTATGTGCATCACTTTATGAACAGAAAAATAGTTTCATTCAAATATATTTAACCATTTATAAAATGGTATACTTTGTGGTGCCTATGTCTGAGAAAATTTAAATATATTTGAAAGAATTGCTAAATTCAAAATGTCCTGTAAATTTTCCCCAATAAAAAATGTTAATGGACAATTATATTAGATATGAGTCCAAGTAATACACTGATTTTGATTCATTAATTCACTTGTTGTATGAGTGTTTATCTTTAAAAGTAGCATATTAAAATGGTTAATATGAAGCTTAGTCAAACTGGACCCCACGTCTCTTACTTGTTGACAATATATAAATATGCCACTTATCTCTCTAAATTACATTTTTTGTCTTCTGCAAATATGTCAAAACTTTAGTCATCTCACCTGAATATTAGGGGGATTATGTGTTATTACAAGCATAACACCCAGTACAATACCAGGCACACAGAAAGACACCTAGTTGCTATCGTTCTGTGTCAGAGAATGTTGGTAAACATTACATGGTCCTATCATGCTCCAACAGTGAGATAGAATCTGAAGTCATTTCTCTCAAAGTTTGTCTTTAAAGTGACCCTGAATGCAGATCGCAGTCAGTCAATTTGAATTCACAATTTATCCTTGATTCTCTTACTAAATTAAAAGCTAAAATTTCTAAATCCACGTTCCATTTCCTTTCCTGTACACTAAGAAGTATAACGGCTGCTCATGATCCTTCCAGGTTACAGATATGAATGTGTTTATGATCCTCGACATAGGTATACATTCGCTGGTGGTTACTGACTTTCCTTTCACTCTCTTCCTTCTCGAGTTGAGTGTTCCACAACTTTCAGAGCTATTAAAGGCTTTGATTTTTAGCTGTGGCCTGTCTAGTTCTGTGGTTCTGGCTTCTGAGGAGCCTTGAAGTAGGGTATGATCATAGGAAATCCCTGTTCACCACAGCACACACATTCCATGAAGGAATTCACCAAGAACCTTGCAGGAACACTACATTTGGAAAAGGGTTATGGTACTGGGGCAACTTTTGCTCATCTTGATGATGTTGCTTCTCTAAATTAATCATTTGGAAGAGCACTGTCGTGATTTATGTGGCAAATAGGGATGGAAATTCTAACTAAAGTACAAGAGCAAGTGTCAGATAACAAGAATTATTGCAAGGGGTGTAGAGAGACTAATTTAAAAAAACTGATTGGAATTGACTTCTGCTGCATTTGGGTCATCAAAATGACACATGTACTTAAGAGCAGCTGTCTGGAGAAGGCAAACGGGAAAAGCAACAAAGCACCCTCTGTGCATTTTGGGTTCCATTTACTTAGATCCTTGACATTTAAAACTCTAATGCCTTTATGGCCAAATTCAATGCCAAAATCAGGGAGAAAATTAATGTTTTAATCTGTGAGTCACAGGAACCCACTTATAATTAACTAAACAATTGTTATTCTGTTTAATTCTGTTTAAAACAATTCTACTTGGGTGATTTCACACACCTAGTGTATAGACACCTTCATATTTTGCTTCATTTTTCTTGAAGTAATCTTTTTCTGAATAAAGATTGTATTGGGAAAGAAAGAAAAGAGGTTGAGTAATGGGATTGGAAGAAAGAAATGAGAGGTGTATTTTATAAACTTTATTGCAAAGAAAAACTGGAATATATTTCAAACTGGTGTGCTCTGTGACTCTTGTGTGATGCTCACACATTTTGAGTTGACTGACTAGAGCACAGATAATGTGAAAAAAAGACTAGTTTCAATACAGGTATTGTGAGAGATGTCCAAGTGTCGCTTTCCCCTTCACTTTTATCTCCTTGCCAGTATCATGCATATTGCCCAGTGAGAGAATATTGTGAACCATTGGTGGATATTTTATTGCTTTTTATGACTGGTGAGGAAACTGTCTAAAAAGGTCCCGCTATGTGGACAAATATGCAGTGATCTGCAGTAAGGGGAATTCTGAATGATTTTCCCAATTCTGTTCTTTTCCCCTAACCAGTTACAGAAGTAGTTTTACGTGCTGCAAGCAAATCTGTGTTCAAATATTTATTGGAGGCTCCATTGTGACAAGAACATATGCGAACAGATGCACTTTTTCCCATAATTATTTTGCAGAGTATGCTGGCAATAATCCTGGTATTTTCAGTCAAGGCATTTAACCCTGTCTACATTTTGGATGGCAGTCATAAAGCTCTACTAGTTTATCTCATAGAGAAATAAGATTGCCCCCCAAAAGGTAGCCATTTATAAAATATGCACCTCTGAATAATTAAATGAGCTACCAAAGAGGAACAGACTCTAATCAGCTTTCACACTGAGATTGTGCCATGCGCTGAATCATTCCGTTATGAATATGTTTCTCTTGGAGCATGTATAATTATGGATTTTTTTTTTCTGTCTCGGTAGGAACTGGGAAGTAACAGCCCTCCACAGAGAAACTGGAAGGGAATTGCTATTGCCCTGCTGGTGATTTTAGTTGTATGCTCACTCATCACTATGTCAGTCATCCTCTTAACCCCAGGTAATCTGTCTTTATTCCTCTCTTATTATGGTATTGTGGATGATAATTGCACATTCAAATGCCTTAAGAGGGTAGCAATATGTGGGATCTCAGGGTATATTAGCTTTAGCTGGAATTCTTTAAAAATAAAAAAGCTGTATCAGACATTTTGCAAATGACTCAGTAGTTCTGCAGTTCAAAATATCATGCCGACTTCTGGAGGAAGTAAAAAAAAAGTAAAATACGTAAACGAAAATGCCAAGGAGATTTTTGGTCTCTATTGCTGCTTAGAGACTTCTTATGTTTGTCAGTTTGATAACTGCATGGGGGCATTTGAGTTTTATTGTGATTTAATGAGGGCAGAGTGGATCGGGAAGTTCCCATAAATAGATGGTAGATGACTATTCTGTTGTATGGAAATGGAAAGGGAGGAGTTCAGAGAAAAGATCAGCTCAAATGAGAATCTTAAGTTTTTTTCCCTGAAATTTTACACCCTGAGTTTCCCTACTGTGTAAAGAAACTCTCCAAATTGTTCTGGTGGTGATCTTCAGACTGTATTCTTCAGATGAAAGAGTTTCACTCTGATACATAAATTAACCATAGGCTTCATTCAGTAGTATTCTAAACTATTTTTCCATGATTTTTACACTCTATAGTTGTTGATAATAAAGAAGGCAGAGATAAGGGCTTACCTTTTAAACTTCTTAGATTATCTTCTAGAAACAAATGAATTTGGCACACCCAGCTTTTTTCCTCAAAGACCTAACACTTATACATACATGAGTCAGAATGATGGAAAATGGTCATTTTGTACAAAAATCAACTGAGTGGTTTTTATTTAAACTTCAGTTGGTGACCCATCTTTTGCATTTTAGAACTTTTAAATGCAGTGAACTTATTTGCCGATGTACAAAATGTAATTAACAATGACTCTTTTTCAGAGTCATTTAATCAAATAATTACAGTGACTAATTACACCTATAGTCATTATCAATCATTTCAACATGATAGTTTGTGAAATATCTCATCTTAGTTAAAATATTGGCTTTGAAATATATAAATTTCAGCTATAAACTTTTTTTCTTAGTGAAATAAGCAAGTTCTAAAAATACAAATACCTTATGTTTTCTTTGATATGTGGCATTTAATATAGAATATAAAAAATTGCATAGGAATGAAATGGACATCTTGTGATATAATTGCTGATTTTAGCCCTTGTTTATACTCCTGTGGTACTGTGGTCTTCCTACTTTTTACTTGTTGAATATTCTGGTTAGTGATGAATTAAGCCTGTGACTATACAGTGCAGTGAAACTATGTCTTTGCAAAAATTAAAGAAAAAAAAAAGGAAGGGGGTGGGGATTGAGTAAGGGATACATTGAGAGAGGGAAGTATGGTTATCTTCTTAGAACTGTACCTAGGAAATCTTTCTTTTTACATTATTAAAAATAAAAAATATAGCCGCTGCCACAGCTCACTAGGTTAATCCTTCGCCTGCGGCGCCGGACACCGGGTTCTAGTCCTGGTTGGGGCGCCGGATTCTATTCCAGTTGCTCCTCTTCCAGTCCAGCTCTCTGCTGTGGCCTGAGAGTGCACTGGAGGATGGCCCAAGTGCTTGGGCCCTGCACCCACATGGGAGACCAGGAGAGGCACCTGGCTCCTGGCTTTGGATAAGTGCATTGCGCCGGCCGCAGCAGCCATTGGGGGCTGAACCAATGGAAAAGGAAGACCTTTCTTTTTTTTATTTAATGAATATAAATTTCCAAAGTACAGCTTATGGATTACAATGGCTTCCCCCTCCATAACTTCCCTCCCACCTGCAACCCTCCCCTTTCCCGCTTCCTCTCCCCTTCCATTCACATCAAGATTCATTTTCAATTCTCTGTATATACAGAAGATCGGTTTAGCATATATTAAGTAAAGATTTCAACAGTCTGCACCCACATAGAAACACAAAGTGAAAAATACTGTTTGAGTACTAGTTATAGCATTAAATCACAATGTACAGCACATTAAGGACAGAGATCCTACATGAGGAGTAACTACACAGTGACTCCTGTTGTTGACTTAACAATTTGACACTCTTGTTTATGGCATCAGTAATCTCCCTATGCTCATGTCATGAGTTGCCAAGGCTATTGAAGCCTTTTGAGTTCACCAACTCTAATCATATTTAGACAAGGTCATAGTCAAAGTGCAAGTTCTCGCCTCCCTTCAGAGAAAGGTACCTCCTTCTTTGATGACCTGTTCTTTCTACCACTGGGATCTCACTCACAGAGATCTTTCATTTAGGTAGGTTGGTTTTTTTTTTTTTTTTTTTTTTTTTTTGCCAGAGTGTCTTGGCTTTCCATGCCTGAAATACTCTCATGGGCTTTTCAGCCGGATCCGCATGTCTTAAGGGCTGATTCTGAGGCCAGAGTGCTGTTTAGGACATCCGCCATTCTATGAGTCTGCTGTGTCTCTAGCTTCCCATGTTGGATGGTTCTCTCCCTTTTTTATTCTAGCGGTTAGTATTTGCAGACACTAGTCTTGTTTGTGTGATCCCTTTGATTCTTAGTCCTATCAGTATGATCAATTGTGAACTGAAATTGATCACTTGGACTAGTGAGATGGCATTGGTACATGCCTCCTTGATGGGATTGAATTGGAATACCCTGGTATGTTTCTAACTCTACCGTTTGGGGGAAGTCAGCTTGAACATGTCCCAAATTGTACATCTCTTCCCTCTCTTATTCCCACTCATATTTAACAGGGATCACTTTTCAGTTTAGTTTCAACACTTAAGAATAACTGTGTATTAATTACAGAATTCAACCAATAGTATTAAGTAGAACAAACAAAAAAAATACTAATAGGGATAACGTATTAAGTTGCTCAAAAACAGTCAGGGCAAGGGCTGATCAAGTCACCGTTTCTCATAGTGTTCATTTCACTTTAACAAGTTTCCTTTTTGGTGCTCGGTTAGTTGTCGCCGATCAGGGAAAACATATGATATTTGTCCCTTTGGGATTGGCTTATTTCACTCAGCATAATGTGTTCCAGATTCCTCCATTTTGTTGCAAATGACCGGATTTCATTGTTTTTGACTATTGTATAGTATTCTATAGAGTACATATCCCTTAATTTTTTTATCCAGTCTACTATTGATGGGCATTTAGGTTGATTCCAGGTCTTAGCTATTGTGAATTGAGCTGCAATAAACATTAATGTGCAGACAGCCTGTTTGTTTGTCAATTTAATTTCCTTTGATAAATTCCAAGGAGTGGGATGGCTGGGTCGAACAGTAGGGTTATATTCAGGTTCCTTAGAAATCTCCAGACAGACTTCTGTAGTGGCTTGACCAGTTTGCTTTCCCACCAACAGTGGGTTAGTGTCCCTTTTTCCCCACATCCTCACCAGCATCTGTTGTTGGTAGATTTCTGTATGTGAGCCATTCTAACTGGGGTGAGGTGAAACCTCATTGTGGTTTTGATTTGCATTTCCCTGATTGCTAGTGATCTTGAACATTTTTTCATGTGCCTGTTGGCCCTTTGGATTTCCTCTTTTGAAAAATGTCTATTGAGGTCCTTGGCCCATCTCTTAAGTGGGTTGTTTGTTTTGTTGTTGTGGAATTTCTTGATCTCTTTGTAGATTCTGGTTGTTAACCCTTTATCTGTTTCATAGTTTGCAAATATTTTTCCCATTCTGTTGGTTGCCTCTTCACTATCCTGACTGTTTCTTTTGCAGTAAAGAAACTTCTCAATTTGATGTAATCCCAATAGTTAATTTTGGCTTTGACTGCCTGTGCCTCCAGGGTCTTTTCCAGGAAGTTTTTTTCTGGTGCCAATATATTGCAGGGTTTATCCAATGTTCTCTAATAATTTGGTGGTGTTGGGTCATAGATTTAGGTCTTTAATCCATGTTGAGTGGATTTTTGTGTAAGGTGTAAGGTAGGGGTCTTGCTTCATGCTTCTGCACGTGGAAATGCAGTTTTCCCAGCACCATTTATTGAATAGACTGTCCTTGCTCCAGGAATTGGTTTTAGATCCTTGATCAAATATAAGTTGGCTGTAGATGTTTGGATGATTTCTGGTGTTCCTATTCTTTTCCATTGGTCTATCCATCTGTTTCTGTACCAGTACCATCCTGTTTTGATAACAACTGCCCTGTAGTATGTCCTGAAATCTGGTATTGTGATGCCTCCGGCTTTGTTTTTGTTGTACAAAATTGCTTTAGCTATTTGAGGTCTCCTGCATCTCCATATGAATTTCAGCATCATTTTTTCTACATCTGAGAAGAATGTCTTTGGTATCTTGATTGGTATTGCATTGAATCTGTAAATCGCTTTTGGGAGAATGGACATTTTGATGATGTTGATTCTTCCAATCCATGAGCATGGAAGATTTTTCCATTTCTTGGTATCCTCTTCTATTTCTTTCTTTAAGATTTTGTAATTCTCATCATAGAGATTTTTAACGCCCTTGGTTAAGTTTATTCCAAGGTATTTGATTGTTTTTGTAGCTAATGTGAATGGGATTGATCTTAGCAGTTCTTTTTCAGCTGTGGCATTGCCTGTGTATACAAAGGCTATTGATTTTTGTGCATTGATTTTATATCCTGCCACTTTGCCAAAATCTTCTATGAGTTCCAATAGTCTCTTTGTAGAGAACCAAGAGCGAGGAAAGAGGAGAGAAAGAAAAGAGGAAAGGAGGAAAGGAAAGAAAGAAGGGTGTGGGGAGGGAGAAGGAACATTTCTTGGGAAGAGCTGGTTTATCTACATTGACTTCAGGAACCTTCTCTTAACTGCATCATTTGTGCATGTATAGCACAATATAATTTAGCAATATGATGGCTCCAAGGTGCTAGGGGATGCCATGAATCTTTGTTACAATAGATGCCCTTATGTTCAGCATAATGTTTCACTTGACGTATGAATTTAGGAATAATTAGAAAAAACGAATGACTTGGTTTTGTTACCTTCTGTGGGTAATTATTAACCAGGCAGAAAGGATTTGTACTATAGTGCTCATATATATCTCTTG